TGCCTTGTGAGTGAGAGAGTCCAAGTGGAAATAGCATGTACAAAGTTCCAGGCACATGAAACCATGTGGTACTTCAGGGAAACTGAAAGCCTTATGGTTTGGTGAGATGAAGCTGAGAGGTGAACTTGTAAAACACGCAGCGGGAATTGGATTTCATCTTGAGAATGGGTGAGACACATTGCAGAGGCACTGTAGTCTTGCACTTCATAAAGGTAATTCTAATGGCGATGTGAGTGGGGTGGGTCTTGAGGATAAGAAAACCAGTTTATTGATAATTGGAATAAATCTGGCGAGAAACTGGCAGAACTAAGGCAGTGACAGTAGGAATAGGGAAGAAAGTTGAAATACTTGGGGAGAAATATTTGGGAGTTATCAATATAGTTAGTAGTTAAATCTATGGGAGAGGATAGGGACATGTGTTTATAATAAAAAATGAAAGAGAAGGGTGAACTTCCGAGGACAATACCAGTCCAGTAGTGAAAGGACAAGTAGAGAAAGACTGTCTAGCAAAAGACACTGGAAAGAAATGGTCTAAGAGATAGCAGAAGTAATCCATTTGGCCCCTTCTATGGGATGAAGGGACTAAATATATTCATGTCAGTTTGAGCATCAGAACTGGGCTCAATCCTTGAAGCCAGGAGTTGAGTTGAGTTCCTTTACCACGACCCTTGTACCCTAAATCCTCCATGTATAGAAACAGCAGCTCCTCACCCAGCAGCACTCTCCCTATGGTGGGACCCTGAAAATCAACATTATTGACAAGAGCCTGGGACTGGTTGCATACCCAAGGGAGACAGGGAGGACCTAGTCACAGCCAGGGGACCAGGAACTGAAACAGTGCCCCTGCCCAGTGACTGGATTGCAGTATCCTTAACATCAAGATAGGAGAGGAGCTCCCAGATGCCAAGGCTTCCAGGTCATTCTGATTTTTAAATGCCAGAGAGATTAAAGCAAAACAGTTGAATGATAGCCATTGTATTTGACAACTGGAAGTGATAGGGAAAGAAGCCAAATTTTGAAGATTAAAAAGTAAATGAGAGAGAAGGATACTGAAACCACAAATAAGAACTTTTAAAGAGCTTGACTAGCAGAAGAAAGAGGGGAGGGAGGGCGTAAAAGCTGGAGGAGATTTTACGACTAAAGGGATATTTTTAGGAATGAGCAGACTTGAAATATTTAACAGAATTTCCAAAGTGTTGAACTGAGGTAGAGGTGACCCAAAACTCCAAAGGCAGCATTTCCAAATCTTGGAACAGTAGTAACTCTTGTGTGTTGGTGACTAAATAAACTGTCTGCAGCAGAACTGCCTCCACCTGTGCTCCTTGGGCTTTTGACTTGATTATTGATAGTACTTAATAGGTTCCTTTTTGCCCGCTTGGGCTGGGTGCCCCGCTTATAGAGCTGGGTGTGTGGAGCCCTTCTGTCTGCCCCAGGTCTCCTGGTCTGTCCTCGCCTCATGGGAAGACCTTCCTGGCCTCTTTACTAGTGTTTCGCTCCACCCTCTCATCTGCTGCTTCACTTAAGATGTCTCTTCCTGACATCTTGCTTGAAGTTAAGCTGGTTGCCAACAATGGAGGCAGTCAGAATTTTCAGTGCTATTTGTGACTAAGTTAAAAGTTTACAGTATATTCATGAGTCTGCATCTCAAGAATTATGCTGGATATCAAACAGATGACAGTGGTGAGTCCTGGGAAGATCAGGACAGGGAAAGAGAAGATGGTGGTCAAGGGTCTTAACCATATTGCTTGAATTTTTTGAAATGAGAATTAAAATTAAATTTAAAAGAATCATACTAAATAATCAAGTTTGAAAATTAAACCCTATCATATCAGAGGTGTTATTAATAAGTATAGTTTATGGAATATGTATTTCTTTTAACTTCCCATATTCCCTATGAAAGATTGAGTTCTAATTACGTCCTGTGAGTTTAGTTACGTACTTGGCTGCGGAGGAACTCTTAAAGTTTGCTTGAAGTTTAGCAGGGCCTGGGAGTTGATTTAGGCCAAGATTCACCGAACCTTTCCACCCTCCGGTGTGAATTTCAAGACCAATCTGGTTACTCCACGAGAGAAAAGAGAAGACTGGAGCATTTCGAATCATTTACTGCTGTGGCTACGGGTGATCAGAGGGAAGGATTACAGTGCAGTTCTGAACATTTCAAAAGGATGTTTTAAAGGAATTTGCCATTACTCATACCTTCGAAGGGAAACAGTGCTGGAGATAACTTCAGCTAGATAATTTAAAATGCTGATTTTAGAAGTAAATTTTGTGTTTATCTTGAATAAGAGTGCATCTGATACAGAGGTTCACAGCCTTGCAGAGAAAGTAATGAAGCTGTTCTGTAAAAACTGGTTTCCAGAGTACTTGGAAGACCGCCCAGTTTCCCTTGCCTGCCTGCCCTCTAACTCCTTTTCCCTCACTGAATGCCGGCAAACATTGGGGACCAACTGCCAAGCAGGCACAGGACACTGGTCCTGTGTGGTCACTGTGTCCTAAGCTTGCCTGTTAACAAGATATGTAATAATGGGCTGCCTTATGAAGTTAGTACAGAATTTAGACTACTGATAAGTCTAGAGAAGAATATTTAGCTGGGGCAGAAACTAATCAGAATAGAGAATTGAAAATTAGTCTTTTCTTTTTTTCTTTATTCTTTTTTAGTTTTTTTTTGGGGGGGCGGGTAGGGATTAGGCTTATTTATTTATTTTTAGAGGAGGTACTGGGGATTGAACCCAGGACCTCCTACATGCTAAACATGTACTCTACCACTTGAGCTATACCCTCCCACCCTAGTCAGTCTTTTCTTGATAGTCTGCGGTTGACAAAAAATTAAAGAATCTGATCTTTATCTGAGGTGCTGAGCGTCACGCATAACCACATAGTTTACATCCTCCGTGAGCGCCAGTCCCCTCTTGGAAGCTGCAGCTGCTTCAGCTTGCCCCAGCGCACACTGGGGAAACAGCCCCACTGAAATACTGAGCTGCTGGGATCATGTCAAGATTCAGTTCAACTTATGTTCTCTGGGCTCTACCTGATACCAAAGTCAAAGATAGTTTAAGACGTAGATAGTCCTTGTTGTGAAGGAGTTCCTGTGGCATGAAGTAAACTGACCCATGGATATTACCAGCATTCTCAGAGGAGGAACACTTGGTGCAGCCACGAAGGGTACAGAAAGCTTACAGGAGATAACACTTGAGGCAGATCTGAAAAGAGTAGAAGGCGATTAGGCAAAGGGCCCTTAGAGACATTAGTGCGTGTGTTGTAAGCCAGGAAACCACGTGCAGTCTGTGTGAACAGAGTGTGAAGTGGTGGTAGGACTGGAGAGGTCTTGAATTTTACCCTAAGGGTAATGGGGTAGTTATTGACTGAGTTTTGGTCATTCTCTTGTCAAAGGTCAAATTTGCTTTTTAGAGGAAGATTGCTGTGATAACAGTGTGTATGATAGGAGGCTAAGAATAATAATTAAAATATCATTAATACTCATCATAGTACCACTCCATCTGAGATTTATTTATTTAGACAGTGTTAAAAAATAAGCTAAGGTAATGACAGAGAAGAGGGCAGTTAAGATGCTTTCAAGCTTCACTAAAACACCAGCTCAAACATTGTGACATAATGTAGGACTAAAGCTGTAATATATATATAATCCATAGCCATGGGGAATGGAATGTGCTTTCTTGGACAGAAACAAGTTGGTTGTGAAATCAGGGTACCAACTTTCAAATAGTGACAGCTCTTTTTGACAGCAGTGTGGATGCTAATGACAGGTAAATTTTTGCTGAGTTTGCCCAGCATTGTTTCAGCTACCTTCACACACACAGGTCCAACCTTGAGCAGGATATCCTTCCAGCATTTTTTTTCTGTCATTGTAAAATGAAGGGACTGGCTTGGGGTCTCTAAATATCTAATAAATGGCTGTCATTTCATGAATATTTATATGTCTGTATATTCACATATATATGAGTATATATTTAACACATAGAAACATTCATCATTAAGTAACATTTTCACTGCATTTATTAGGAAATTGCTATCATCCAATTTGATTTTTTAAACATTTTTTATTGATTTATAATCATTTTACAATGTTGTGTCAAATTCCAGTGTAGAGCACAATTTTTCAGTTATACATGAACATATATATATATTCATTGTCTCATTTTTTCCTCTGTGAGCTACCAGAAGATCTTGTATATATTTCCTTGTGCTATACATTGATTTGATTTTGAAAAAGCCATTCCAGCAATTAGTTGGAAATGCACCGGGCAGGAGCATGAATAGGCCCAGGAACACCAGCTAAGAGGCCCCACAAGTAATAAATGTGATCACTATGAAAATGCATGCTTATGCATTTATGGATCTGAGATACAGCTTGTGAAAGCAGGAATGACAGGATGAGAGGACTGGGGTGGGGTGAGAAAATCCAGGACAAATCTGAGGTTTTGACCCAAGCACCTTGGTCGGGGATGATACCCTTGATGAAGACAGCAGAGACAGGAGAATGGGGTCTGGGAGGGTACGGGGCATGAAGAGTGCAGTTTGGGATGTATTAAATCTGCAGTGATTATGAGACATCCTTATGTGAAATGGAGAGGTTGAAAATGTGATTTGGTATTTTTCTGGTAGAGCAGATAAGGTTAAATAAATAATAAAGGTTTAATATCAGCTTTTAATGTTTCTTCAAAATGGATTTCAGTTCACAATCTTAATAACCACTCACCTTTATCAAGCATGTGGTTGGTGCCATGCCCTTCACTAAGGGTTTTACACACATTGCTTTCAAACTTCCAAAGAACCCTATGAGGAAGATGCTGTTGTTCGCAGTGTTGAATGAGGAAGCTGAGATTTGAGAGGTTAGGACACTGGCCTGAGAGTCAGTAGCTGGTAGATGGAGAAGCCTGGATTCATATGAGGCTGCCTGAATTCAGAACTTACATCTCACCACTTACAGTGGTGTCTGGCTGTGAGCATGTGGCTCATTGCAATTTTCTTCTCTTTTTCAGGGTCTTGGTTTTTGCACTGAATGTAGTCTAGAGTCATCTTCACGGGCTTGTGTTGCCCCAGGATACTGTCAAAGGTAAGTTTTAAAAATTGATATCGGCATTCATCTTAAAAAGAAGAAGAGTACATTTTGATGTTATTGCTCCTGTCCAGAGTTCTTTTTTTTTCTCCAGAGTTCTTACAAAGGGGTATTTAAAGTGGCCATCACACGGGCCCTTTGCATTTCAACTTCAGTAGGTCCCTTTGAAAAGCAGCTGTATTTAGATTGATACTGACATTTGGTGCCTCATCCTTTAATAAAGCTAGAATCTGTTATTCATGTGGCAGTTTTGGAGTTTTATGTGAGCATATCCTAGCTTCTGTTCTGCTGGTCCGTCCCCCCCCCCCAGTGTGTAGCCCGCAGCACTGCCAGAGCCAGCTTCTCAACAGTGGATTTGCTCACTGCTCCTTTGCTTAACCAGCTCTCAGGGCTCCCCAGTGCTGCAGGTGCCCTCCTACAGACCCCTTCAAAACTTAATTCCAGTCAACATTTCTGGTTTCCCTTTTAGTAAACCCCTATCTGTAAACCTTACTGGGCCATTTTGTACTCCCCACATGTATAATTATTTTTCACCACTTTGTGCCTTAGTGGATGCTTTTCTCTTCTCTTAGATTTTGGAAGAGGGGAGAAGACTGCCGCTATTTACTCTTACTTCTTGTGTCTTTCCTGTTGTCCCCTTCTCCCACACTCCCTTGACAGAATTTTTTTTCATCTGTGTTCTAGGAGTACCTGTTGTTACTACAGCAATAAAGCATTCATTATTTTACATTAGAGTTATTTATTTGTATCTGTCTCCTTTACTAGTCTCTACCCTTTGAGACTTCCTGGAAAGGAGCTAACTGTTTTTTTTTTAGTGCCTCTTGGCTGCCTCTGGACACCTTGCTGAGTGCTATACATGTATTGTTTAACTTAATCCTTGTGACACCACTTCCTGGCCAGTTTTATGGATGAAAGTAATGAAGATTAGAAAGTTAAGTAACTTGCCCAAGATTACACAGCTAAGAAATGACAAAGAATAATGGTTCTGCTCCGTCAAAGCCAAAGTTCGTTCTGCTGCACCACACTAGCCCAGCACCATTGGCCTGTGGTAGGGACCTAGTAAATATTTGTTCAATCAACTATTGCAGTTTAAACAAAAGGGACTTTAGCTGATTAATTCAGTCATTTTTACATAGGAATTTAAATACTTACTAAATGCCAGGTACACGGTTTTACGTAGTCTGTGAATACAGAGATTAATGAGATGAAGTATCTGGTATCAAAGGATTGATAATCCAGTAGGGGAGGGATCTGTGTAACTAAATAAATCCAGTTAAGTGTTACAGGTCCTATAGCAGAATTCAGACAAGATCTACTGGGGACACTGAGGAAGGAATCACGAGTTCTTCCTAGAGATGGGTCAGGAATTACTTTATAAAAGCTGAGTTTTAAATGACGAATAGAGTGTTGCCGGATGGTACTAGGGAAGGGAAAGGCAGAATGAGTAATATGAACAGAAACATGGAAACCTGAAGCCATCTGGCATATTTGGGAGGCCATCAGTTGTTCAGTGATGCTGGAACAAAGTGAACAAAGAGGTGTTGGCTGATGATGCTGGAGAGACAGGTAAGGCCTGGATCCTGGAGGCCTTTTAAATGTTAACATACTTACCAACTTTTAGAGAAGACCGAGCCCGGATGCTGTGTAAATCATGCTCATGTTTGGTCATTAACATCTGTTGAGGCCTGTCCTGCGTGTGCCGGTCAAGACTCTCGGTCAGTTACCGCCACGGCAGGAGAGTGGTGGCTCTGAGGTGAAACCATGTGCTGAAGCAGAAGGCAGATGCCTATGCTGTGACATCATCCTTGACAGCTTTACTCCACTCGTCACCCTCCAGTTCATTTCACCTCGGTGACTCGGCTCTGACTCTTCCGTCACTCTGTTAGCACTGATACACGGGCCCTTTGCCACCTCCCAAGTGGAACCCCAGCGTAGCCATATATTTTTGCATTGCCTACTTTATTCACCTTCCTTTTTGTCAAAAGGACAGTGAAACTGACTTAGACCCTTAGAACTACAAGCTGTGCCTTCAGACAAGATTGTCATCATGGTGTTTTCAAGAAACACATTGGAAAATAGTAAGGATGGTTCGAAAACAACAAAAAAATGAAAGCAAAGAAAGTAAAGGACATTGCTATGCCATATACTATAGTGAGAAACCTCTTAATTTCCATCTCCCCGTTGAATTGCCTACGTAAGCCCAGGCAGTTTACACATAGACCCTCACTGGTTTTATGGCACATGTGCTGTTTGAAATTCAGCTGCTTGGCCGCTTCCATGCAGCAAATAACTGTTGCTCTCACTGATCTGTAAACGATCTATATGAAGAAAGTCTGTTTTCCCTAAAGTCCAATCATTGCCTCAGCCCTGCATGCTTAGGAAAAGCTGTGCCTGCATAATTCAAGGTCAGGCCACAGCCTCTGTACTTTGAAGCCACCCAAGCCTGCTAATTCCCCATTCCCTTTGCTGAGGCCAGCACGGCTGGCATTTGCTTGCTAGGCCAGAGTGGCCGATGTACGCTGAGGCCGCTTGCACAGCTGACATTTAGATGAGCTTTCAGTACCACCACCACCGCCACCGCAACCGACTGTGGCTTGTTGCTTTGCCGAGGCCGGCAAAGCCCCCAAGCCTTTGCTAAGGCTTCTGTGCCTGGTGCATGCAGCCTTGTCTCCATAGAAACAACCACATACCTGAAGACAGAGTTACCATAACTACAGTCACCACTAAGGTCAGAATACAGTGTGGCCTCTGCTTTCTAAACGTCTAATTTGGCCTCAGTAGTTAAAACTTAGTGTATAACTGTAAAAACTCATGTGACCTAAAGTAAACCTCTGCAGGGTCAAAACGGTTTGTCCTCTCACTAACGACTAAGGCCCCAAATCCTGGCCTGACAGAAGCCTCAGAAATTCCACGTGAATTTATCTCCCCAAATTATGCTTCATGTCCACTTATCAAGACTCTAGTCTCAAATGCACCAGATTTAGGGTCTTTGAGAGACCTAATAAATAGCACTTTCCCCCTTGGCTGAGTTCTATACCAACTGAGAAAATTGGGAGAATGTGGCTTACATCTACGGGCAAGAGAACAGTCTTAACACTGAACCTCAGAATTCAGCAGACTTAACCTTGTCACAGTAATTGTGAGGGACCCGTATTTATGGGTATAACAATAAAGGACAGTGCATGCTCCTGGGGGACAGCTGGCTTCCAAAGGGAAGAGAGAGAAGGGGCTGAGCTCACATACCTTGTTTCTCCTTCTGAACTCACCATTCAGATAAGATCCTGTGCCTCCCCTAGGGTGAAGCATGTGGGTGGAGAGGAGCCAGAGGTGAAACCCCAGGAGAGGGGAAGAAGCATTCCTCTTTCCCAGCACATTGAAACGGAAATGGCACAGGGATTATGGGGTAGCTTTCTTGGTCAGCTATGTCTATAATGTATCTCTATGAAATACCACCTCTGTTTCAGCAAAGTGGAATGGGAACTTAAAGACGTTTGTGAAGCATTTGTATACCAGACCTTTCTAGTTATGTTATTGAGGTTTTTCCAGTGCTACCAATATAGTTTTCATAGAAAGAGCAGTTCTGCTTTTATACAACTATCGTAAGCCTGTGAGGGGCAAAACCAACTAGAGAAGTCCGGTTTCACTTGCTGTGAGCATCAGTTGTATGTTTCACAGAGGGAATGGGCAGCGTCGGGTCAGGTGGAGTGAGTGAATTGGGGGTTGGTTAAGGAGCTTTCGCTGTACCAATTTCACATTGCATAAATACATATTGGTTCCCCCAAAACCTCATAGTGGGCACAGTAGATATTTTGATACACTTTCCCCCTCAACAAGTGAGGAAACAGATTCCCAGAAGGACCTTTTTAGCCTCAGGTCTTGTGGATGTTTATTGAGAAGCTTGTACACAGAGCTGGATCGCCAGGTTCCCAATCTGCTGCGGTCATAAATATTTCTCCGCACACAAAAAACATACAATGTCAAGCATCTTTTTAGTTTTCATCCATAGCTGTGAGCCCTTTGAAGTACTTGAGAGGTTTTAAAATATTCATACCTGATACAATGGAGATTTATTTTGTGTCAGTTTGAATAATTATTCTTTAATAATTATGTATTTAATGAATTAGTTTGAATTTTGCATAAACTTTTAGTAGTTTCTTTTTGGTACATTTTATTTAATTCATAAAATTTTAACACAGTTTTATTTGACTCATTTTATTCTTAGAGGAAAAATTACTACTTTTTATTGTCTTGCCCTATGAATAGCCTGTTCTCATATAAAAATAAATTAACTGACATTTAGTTTATTAAGCAAATTTTCTTACAATAAAAAGATGGGATCAACCAATAGAGGACACCTTAATTTCAATTATAAAATATCATTAATGTTGAGCATAAATTATAAACCCAAGAAACTCAGCCACTTTCAATTTCCTAGCCCAGTATCCAGACAGTATGACCTGCTACAGCATAACAACTTGTCCACTGCTTTACTTAGTGGGCCTCCTTTCTGACAGGTCAGAGTTTATACTGTATGAATTGCTGAAGATTTTCACTGTTATCTCTGCGAAAATCAAATAAAAAGAGGGAAAAAATCTAGAACTGTTTAATACCCCAGTGTCTCAAACCTTTCCTAACTACCCTCAAGGTGACGAAAATTCCCTTCCTACCCTTCTCCCTCCTTTCTTACCTAGGATGCTTGTGGATGTGCGTACACAAACCTACACACATATGCATACACACACACACCACACACACATTACTTAAGGTCATTGCTTCACAGTATTTATGGTCTTGGTGACAGAAATTCAGTCTAATTTTTGAAAAAATAAAAACAAGTTTTCACACTGAATTCCTTATGTATTTTTTCTCTTCTTATCTCTTTCAGGCAGTATTTGTTTGTTTCTGCAGAGTTTTGCACAGTCTGTTCCCATGCAAACCAATGAGGGAGAAGTATCGGAAGAAAGCAGTTCCAAGGTCAGTGAATTACTGAAGAACCAAACAGTTTGAGCAGAAATTGAACAACAGGGGCAGTGAATGAGTAGAGTGAGTGTTGTGTTTCAGGTGAATTTAGAAATTTGATTGATTTAAATTAGAACTGAACCTAAGATTGAGAGGATTTTTTCTACTTAATATCCATTTTTGTTGTAGTATATGACAAATTTAAAACAAATTTTTACTGAACTGAGAGAAATTTATGATTTCTTTGTAGAATACTAGCACTTTATCTTTTAATGTTTTGTTATGCAAGTTGTATGTACTTATTTTGAAAATTAAAACAAATCAGAAGTGTGTAAGGCAAAAAGTAAAAGCCTGTCCCTTTTTCCTGCTGCATAGAAGACATCACTGATAATTTTTTAGACGTTTTAAATTATATTGTAAAATTTTAAATGGTAACTTGTTTGGCTTGGCTCTTCAAGCTAAAGCTTGAATGAATATTATCATTGTTAAACCCTGTATATAAGTAGTTATATACATGCTTATCTGTCTATATCTGGCCCCATGTCCTGAATCTCCTTGGCTGTTTCTCTGTCTGGTGATATGGAGCCCTCAGTATCACCTTCTCACCCCTCTTTGTCCTTTCAAAGCTGTCTCCAGTCCTTCCTGGGCACTCTGAGGGTGTCTCACACTGTGTCCTGGACAGTGCCCAGCCCTGCAGCATTATCTGCCCTGAGCCCTCCTGGGGGTGTCCTTTCACTGCTGCTACCTTTCCTGGTACTCTCTGTGGGGAGACTTACTCTTCTACCACAGCAGAAGTGGAGAGGTATGAAAACGTCATGGGGAACCTCCAAAACATGCTAATTGGAGGAAGCCAGACACAGAAGGTCACATATTGTGTGATTGCATTTGTAAGAAATATGTAGAGTAGATGAATCCATGGCCAGAACACAGACAGGTGGTGGCCAGGGACCAGTTAGAGGGAAGGGGAATGAGGAGTGACTACTTAATGGGCATGGGGTTTCTGTTTGGGGTGATGAAAATGTTTTGGAACTTAATAGAGGTAGTAATTGCACAACATTTTAAATGTACCAAATACCGTTGAGTTGTTCACCTTAAAATGGTTAGTTTTATGTTATGTGAATTTCACATCAATAAATTATTAAAAAACAAAGAAGACAGGAAAAAAAATGTGTGTGGATTCCCATCAGATCAGTCTTCACTGCCTCTTGGCCTCATACAACACTTCACCAAATTGTAGAGAGGCCATCCCCTTCTCTGCTCTGTTGCACTTCGTGGACTGGGCTTCAGAGAAGCACTGTTTGTGCCCTGAGTCTCCAGGTCCCTTGTGGAAACAACTCACTTAGCTTCTTTCTGAATCCCTCCTCACTACAGTCCTTGTGTTAGGTAAAAGGACAGATGTCATCCTGTCCTCTTGCTTGTTTTTTTTCCATCTCGCTTCCTTCTTTCTGTAGCCAAAGCAGAAGCCTATAGACTTTGATCAGACTCATCCAGATCCTGAATCTCATTTAGGGATAGTCAGAACATGTGAGACATGCACATGCCCTGGGAATCTCCCCCCCACACACACACACAGACGCACACCCAGGATTCCCAGAATACACATGCCCCAGGATTTCTGTAGTGCACCTGCACCCTTCTCCACGACCCTAATTAATTAGTTTGTGATGAACTACAGTGTTAAGGAAGACTGGATTCTTCGATCCTCTGGCAAGTGCATTCTCTCCCTAGAAAGCTGAGTTGTAATTGGAAGATTGCTTGGCAAGCATGTAACTAGACCAATAGAGACTATTTAATTGTGCCAGAGTCTCAGTTTCTACCTTTTTTTGTCCCCCTAGAAAGAAGGACTGCATTTCTTGATTTTTCAGTTACTGAATAATGTATCAGTTTAGAATCAACTAGACTAAAAAAAAGAACATTCATTTTGTAGTTGCAGTAAGTAGATGTTTCTGTTATCAAAAATTAGATTATAACTTTATTTTTATCAGTCAGTTTAAGTTACGTTTTTATTACTTTTTTCTTCTTATGCTTCTCTTTGTTTAAAATCTTACTATATTTGGAATGATTTGATGTTAATGTATGAATTTATCATAGTACTTAATTTCATTAATTATAGCAACATAATTTGTGGTTTTCTGTTAACAGAAAAGTTAGGAAAGGTAACTGATTTTGAGGGAAAGTGGGGAATTTTCTACAAAACATAATAATTTTGAACTAAATCCATTTTTTTTTCAATAAATTCTTGAGCATGTGTTATTGGGGGATACAACAATAAACAAACAAGACATAGTTCTTCCTCTCAAGGTGGTTACATTTTAGTGGGAAAAAACCAAATATAAATAAAGATAATAATTATGGATTATGATCAATACTATGAAGAAAATAAAATCAAGCAATATATAGGGTGACTGGGAGAATATGCTTGGGTTGGTCAAGGAGGGCTCTGAAAAGGTGACATTTCAGCTGAGAGGTAAAGGCTGAGGGGGCCAGCTATGTAAGGAGCTAGAAGAACTGTACTGGGTCAGAAGAAACAGCTCCAAAGCCATTGTTGTCTTCCAGGAACTATCAGAAGTCCCTTGTGGCCAAGTGGTGATAGGAGGTTAGGGAGTGAGGCAGAGCCGTTGCAAGACCTTTAAGGCCATGGTGTAGAGCATGGATTTATTCTCCATAAACTGGGAAGCCATTGAAGGCTGCCACGTTAGGGAGTGGCGTGGTATGATTTGCATTTGTGAAAGATCACTTTGGCTGCTGTGTGGAGAATGGATGGGAGAGAGGCTGGAGTCGGAGCACGGAGCCAGTGAGCGGCAGCTGTAGTTCATCACCCAGGTGAGAGGAAAGATGGGCTAGGGTAGTGCACTGAAGTGGAGGAGAGAAAGAGCCAAGGTGTAATTTGGAGATAAAACTGACATGACTTGTGGGTGAACTGGAATACTTTTGCTTCACAGGAATCAGGAGGTAAGTTTTAAGCAAAAGGTAGACTTGGTACTGTCCGATGCTGCCAAGAAGCCAAGGAGGTTGGTAATTGAGAAAATGCATCTGGATTTGTGTTTTGAAGAGTTAATTCAAGAGAAGGGACACAAAATTTTCTGGAGAGATGGAGATATTCTATGTCTGTTAGGGGTGTGGGTTATACAGGTATATCCATTTGTCAAAATTATACTGCTATAATTTACAATTACAATAAAAATTACAATTTTCCAAGTACACTTTACCTGCAAAACTGTAGACGAATAATTGACTGGGCATGGAGGATGGGTGGAAGTGTGAATGAAACACACCTGACAACGTGGACAACAGCTGAAGCTTAGTGATGGGTACATACGGGTTCATTTGTATTTACTTTGTATCTGCTTGAAATTTTCCATAATAAGAAAGTTTTTAAAAAGAAGTTATTAATGGCCTTTAAGAGTAAGAGGATGAGAAACCAAGTTTTATGGATTAGAAGGAAATTAAATGATTTTTTAAAAAAAGTAAGAGTGGTGACTATAGTTTGCTATCCAATTTTAGGAAGTTTTAAAGTAAATGGAGAAGAGCAGTGGGTAGGAGGCATTAGTTCAGGTGAAAGTTTTTTTTAAATGGTGGAGGCCCGTGCTTGTTTGAGAAAAGAGGGCAGAAATGAGTGGAGGAAGAAATGAGTGTGTGTTTATGGGAAAAGTTCCCCGGATTTGTGAGCTTGAAGGAACTTGGGGATCAGCGAGGCTGGGCCTTGCAGCTGTGGCAGTGCCTGAGTGCACATCTGACCCGCTCTTCTGACTCCTGTCTGGTAGTTAAGAGATACATGGAGGAGGAAAGAAAGACAGTGGGGTTCAGCTTTTCCTCATGTTGCCTCCGAAATAGAAGTCATTGTTATTTGGAGAGTTTAGAATGCATGATTGAGGACTTGAAATGACGAGTTTAGATTTCGTACTAAGGGGAAATTGGAATTTTTGAAATTGCATTTGTAGAAAAGGTGCTAAGAATAGCTAATAAGTGAATGAAAGGGTCCGTGCAGTTTAAAAAAAAAACACCCATGTACATACTGTGCGAATAGAAGTCAAGGATGTTTATGGTCAGACGGGATTGACAAAGGAAGTCTTCTTGGAGAATTATGAAGAATTCCTTTTGAAGAAATACTCTCTGAAACTGTGCAATGTCTTCCATAACTTTTTTTTTTTCTGAGAGAGAGATGTTGAAGTTCAGAGATGCACTGGGGGTTATATATCCGTCACAAATTGGGAAATGTATACTTTGATCTTTTGAGTTTAGGAAGATTCCATTTCCCTGCTCGAAAGAGAAAAAGCAGAAGATGGCTTCTAAAAGTTTGCTGTAGATTGGCCATGGATAAATCTATAATTAAGTACAAATGTTCTTTCGATTTTTCATTGCCTTTTTTTTTAACCTCCTTTCCCCCCTCCCCCTTTCCTTTCCTCTTATTAATTCCGCAAATATTTATTGAGCATCTATTACATGCCAGGAACTGTGCTGGGTGCTGACACACAAAGCAGCCTTAGTGAACTGTGATTTTCTTTGTTTTGATTCTTGGGGCTCCAAGAATTTTAAGTGGAAGCAAGGAAAAAGAATGTTAAATTTCACAGTAGTTTAGAACTAGCTTTTTTTCCTGAATGGTCACCAGAATATAATTTTGTATGACCTAATCACTTCTTCAAACAGAGTTCTGCTATTTTAGTGGAAGCTTCTATTGTAGAAATGTCCTTTAGGACAGCAATCGACAGAGTTGTTATTAATGTAAAACTTCATAAGCCCCTGAATATATCCTTTGGAGGCACAGTGACTATTCCTTTTATTTTTCCCAAGGACCATTTCAGGACTTATTTGACTTCCCTGCTGTGTCTGTGAGAGAGAAAATTGAATAGAACGAACACAGTTAACCACGAATCTGTCTTACTGTTCCACACTTACAGAAGTTAAGTATGAAAATTATGTTCTGTATAAAAGGCTGATGACATATCAGGAAATCCAAAGGTTGGGAATATAGTTCATTGGCATGATTCCCTTAGAGAGAGACTCATGTAACTTAA